CTTTGTAATTGCGATTAATCCTTGCATTTTGTATTTTCATTAATTTACACGGAAACGAACGCCACAGGCAGAATTAAAATTCAAAATCATTATCATCGATCCGCCCGCAATTTCATGTAAACATTGATCGAAAGATAAAGGAAGCCATTTTATGTGCCATTCGCAAATTCATATTAGCCTATATCTGTTTTGGGAAAAACGTCGCGGAAATAAAATTAATGCGTATAGGTAGGAGAGAAATGCACCATTGCGGAAAACTCATACCCTAGTCACGTGAGAAAGGCGCAGACTCCCGAAAAATCCACTTAATTTCACAAATTTCCTGGGGATTCAAAAATTCGCAACTGTCGCGGTATAGGTACACAGTACACTGGTCTACGTGAAAATTCACGTACGTTTCAAGACCGCATTCTGTTACTTGCAAAAAACGTAAACAAACCATGCCGTGACGTCATCAACCCTTATCACTATAGCATAAGAAATCGCTTTTTTTGCGGATTAAGGGTTGTTGATTACGCTTAATTTTCGAGCAATTAGTACGTGATTGATTTAAGCGACACAATTCTCGGTGAATGTACCAAAAACTGTTTAATTGGGTAGGTACATATTAGGGAGCCCAAGCATCAGGGGATAATTTGAACACTAATTAATTGCGAGCGTGAATTAATTATCAAACGAAAGAAAGTAGACTAACCTTTTAAAGCCGTCCCTGAAGATGGATGCGATTCTTGGAACACAACGCGTTTATTTTGAGCGGTGCTGTACCTAACCGACGCCATTGGAAAACGGAACGCGATTTGAACTTGATAATGGCAATTCGATTTGTTGAGCACGTAAATTAAAAACTAACCCCGTGCCCTTACGCCTTCACCGAGAAAAATGAAAGTCACTCACTAAAATCGAGCATAAGCCACGATCCGTTTAGCGCGAAAAACAGTTAGCGACTGAGTCGTTTTGCTGCAAGTTCGGGTAAGGCTGCGCTCTGATTGGCTGCCAAGCAATAACATGCACCTGCCTCGTTCCTTATCAGCTCCAGACATTGTTTAGGTACACGAATTTGAACATTTTGAATTAATTGGAATATTTTCGTTTTGAAAACTGAAAACCGAATGACGGGAGTCGGGTATACGCGTTACAGGAGAAGCTGCCTTTCCTGGAAAACTCGCTCTCCCTTTTTGCCGTCCACCCCCCCTTCCCCGAACTCAAAATTAAGCCACCGATTATACTTCACTTGTTTCGATTATTTAAATTTAAGGGCACTTCGATTTGTTTTGTTTACACAAAAAAGCATTTCTCTTCGGTCGCCAAAACGTCACATGAGGACTTTGGTACTGAGTGAATGGCTTTAATCCCGAACGTCCAGAAGTGGTCGTAGTCCCCATCCTCTTCTCGCACGGAGGATTCAGCCGAAATAGTCGTAATCAGAAAAGTGACATTGTAGAATAATTCCCTTATAGAGCTCGTTGAAAGAGGCTATGCTCCTGACTCATGAGAAAACGTGTTTCAGGTAAATTCGTACCTTGAGAAAGTCTCTTAAAGAAAATTCAACCCCGAAGTAGTTGAATTAGAAGATTTAGAGCGGAAAATTCGCTTGCAAGAACTCGTCTGCTTGTACACTCTGCAGATAAAACGCATTTTTTAAAAGCGAAACAGCTTGGGATTGTGTCTATAAAGGAGTAACATGCTGTAGTAAAAAGTCACCTTTGCTAACAAAACTAGGCAGGGGGTGTTAAATAATACTCTCTCAACTCCACTAATTGGGGCAAACATAACTAACTGGCATGTATCGGACGAGACCTCATTCTCGGACCATAAACATGTACGGTTCGAAGACACCATGCATACAATCAATTACAATCAAGGTCCCACAACTGACAGACTGGTGCTCCTATGAGGAGTATATTTGGCCTGAAGTTGATGAAATCACCGAAAAAAGGAACTGAAAGTATCCTCAAATGATGCACACACAAAAACTAAAGGGTTAACGAAGGAAAACGTTCCCTGGTGGAGTAAGGAACTAGAAAAACATTAGGCTAAAGTCAGTAGACTATTCAACAAAGCCAAACGACAAAGGCGCGAAGAAACATGGGAAGCTACAGTACAGAAGCGATCTAGCCGAGTACAATTAGGCGATAAGAAGAACCAAAAGAGGGACTTAGACGCAAATTACGGGAAGGAATCGATTCGATACGAACAGCGTCGCGCCTACAAGAAGACCACTCCAATGGCATTGGAAATCTCAAGAAACCCAATGGGAAATACATTAGGGCTCACAAGAAGTACAAGCTTCTTTTCTACAGATAGAGGCAGAAGGCCAGGTAAGGCTGTACAGAGTTAGATTCTGTTAGGTTACATACCCAGAACGTGGCAGGAGGTAAATGTGGTGTTCATACTGAAAGGGTTAAGACGCTCAATCGACCTGCTCAAGGCGTATAGACCCATCAATCTAAGTTCGTTCTTGTTGAAGGTGATGGAAAAATTCCCAGAGCAATTTCTGAGGAGGGAGGTTCTAACAAAACATTCAGTTCACCCTCCATCAACACGCCCATCAAAAAGGAAAATCGACAATCACGACCCTACATAGTTTAACGTACAAACTTGAAAAGGTGCTCATGTCAAAAGAGCTGGCTCTACTCACGTTTGTGGATATAGAAACTGCTTTCAATGACACCGATCGCATGAAGCCAGCAAACCGTCCGCTGAAAACAAAGGCCTCACCTCCACAACAATAGGCTAGATAAAGTCCATGCGGTGGAGCAGGAAGATAACGGCAAGACTAGACGAGGAGTCTATATTTATCTATGTTTACCTTCTTGATAGATTATTAATGAAAGCGACACAGTCGTAGGGATGGACGGACGGATCCACGGAAATTGATAATATTACTGAACTACCTTTTAGAGAATTATACTAGAGTCCGAGGTTGGAACTGGAACCGAAAATAAGACACCTGAACCGATTACATTTATAAGTCCTCACTTGAAACCGGAACATGTACCAGTATCATTATTATTAATTTATTAATTAAATTAATTAAGGAACCAGTAAATCAAGTTCTCTGACAGTGACTTACACGTATATTTTTGCGAGTGGCTTAAACAACTCTGGTCGAGAGGTGGAATTTTTTGGAAAGACCTAAAGGGTCTGGAAAGATTTCGATTGTTTTAGAAAGTTTAACAATGTTCTAAACGCTTTTCAGCCACTAAGTCAAGAGGAAAAGATCGTTTAGAAGACTGCAGAACTGCTTTTCCTTTTTTTTAGGTGCATTTCAGGGTCCCCATGACCTCTTCTTGTAGATTTCCAAATTTTTCTATTTTCTCCTCAGAGCGAGGTGGACGGACGCCTAACAATCTTTGGAGGAGTCCTAGAAAGAGTAAAAAGCTCTGGTTGGCAAAATGCTTTGGACTTTAAGGGAACTGGATGCATTTGAATGCTCTGAATACTCTAAAATAAAAGTTTTTTAAGTGCCCCTAGAGACCTACATGAAGCTTCGGTAATACCAGGAGAGTACTAGGAGGAATAAGGGAAAGTTATTGGGTCATCACTTGCTACAGTGCTGGTACTAACACGATAATAAAATTGTCGTACTAAAACACTTTAGGAAAGGAAGATTCCAATGGTTTTTCCGAAAACTATCCCAAACGTCTTTATGCCTGAACAATTTTGCGAGAAAAAATAAAAAAATACCCGTTAGTACAAACGAATATTCGGTTATTTTCTCCAATACTACCAGGAGGTACTAGGGAAAAAGCTATTAGTGAGTCATCATTTACTAGAGTATTTTTTTCTGGAGGGTATCCATACCCTCAGACTCCCCTGCACTACGTTTTTTACCACAAAAGGCGTTTACTGAAAGCACTAACACAATTGTCGAACGTAGCATCACGTGTACAGGGTGGCTCAAATTTGTGGCTCACCATTGGGATCTTTGTAACGGTGAGAGTTATAGTGTAGGTTACATGGTAGTAAACTTGTCCCCTGTCTTGGACTGTTGTGACCTTTGTATAAATTTAATTTTCATCTCTTTAGACAGCATTATTAAAATTTATTTGCAGGGCGGTAGATTTGAAGGTGACAGTTGTACATTGCACCTACTACCCATTTGAACTACTATTAGGTTGACGCGTTTTTTATGAATCATCGAAATAGCATTGCATGCAAAGTCGTATGTTCCAGTTCAAGATAAACGCACTGTTATTACTTTTTTATGGACGTCATATTGGGTTTTTACGGAATGAGATGGAGGACCAAAAATAAATTCATTTGAATGCATCACCATCATAGCCATTAGCCATGTTGATTCGACAGTTACCAGTGGATGTTGTTGAGAAATGGATGTAGCACATTTGACTTTGAAATGTTTCTGGTAAAAGTATAGAGTGTGACACGTCCTTTTCTTTTTCTGTTTTTGTCTTCTCTCATTCCGTAAAAATTCATTAAAGCGTCCATAAGAAAGTAGTAACATGTAGCTACTATATCCAGCGTGTTATGGTCATTCAGATTCTCCAAAAAAAAGTGCCAAAGAGGAGGTGCTAACGGAAACCATCCATTTCCGACAGTTTAAGCTAGGAAAAATGAAAACGAAATTTGACATTCAAAAATTTCAAATGCGTTTTTTTAGTCACAAAAATTTATTGGGTCATCATTTGCTCATAGACTATCTATGCAAAATGGATTGTTAAAAAAACAACAAGCAGCTTCATTTAGGCATGCGCTTAATAGGCGGAAATTTAAGGTTTTTGTGCGAGACGTATAATTGAAAAAACAGGTAACTCCAAATTAGAAAATTGAATGAAATGTTATCAAAATTACAGTTCCCACAATCAAAATCGAGACAGAATTTTAATATTATTTTGAAACTGACACGTTTAGAATTATCGGTATCGGTTTCAAATTTTGAATGATCAAATAGTGTAGTTCAAATGTAGCGAGGTAGTTCTAATTCTGCTCGGAAAGGATAGTTTTATTTACTCTTTGTAGTTCAACTATTTGTTTTTGTTTGTTTGTCAATTGTATTTTCGTTTATAATTTTTTATCATTTTTAACCCGCCAATTACAGAAGAATGTCCACAAATGTCAACATTAAAGTCGAATTACAAGAAGAAGCACTTCCTAATGGAGTTGATGTAAAAATTGAACAGTTTGCAGTAAAGCAAGAAGATGAACTTAACTCCTCTCTTATCCACCAGGATCTGCAGATAAACAAAGAAGAAGATTACCACACCACGAAAATAAAACTGGAATCTCAATCAATGACCGATTCCGCTCATTCTGACTCTTTGGAGCAACCATGGTTTAATTGTGAACAGTGCAAATTCACCACACAGTTCGAGCGAAATTTGAAGGACCACTTGAAAGAGCACCAGTATTTGGTGTCCCTTAACGACAAAAAACTAAAATTTGAAGAAGACTGTGATAGTACAAACGATTTTAAATGTGAAGAGTGCGACTTCACAACGAAATGGAAAGGAAACTTGATTAGACACGTGAAGGGTTGTCACGGCACCTCCGAATTTTACTGCCAAAAGTGCGACTTCACGACGAAGTCGAAAAGAAACCTGATACACCACAATCAGGGACGTCACGGTTCCGATGAGTTCAATTGTAAAATGTGCAGCTTCTCCACGACGTGGAAGAATAACCTTAGTCTGCACGTGAGAGGGTGTCACACCGCGGAGAAGTTCCACTGCAAAATTTGCGGATTCGCGACGAAGTGGCGGAAAAATTTATCTGATCACGTGCAGCGACGTCACCGCGTGGAGGAGTTTTTTTGCGACCTTTGCGAGTATAGTACGAATGCCAAACGTAATCTCATCGACCACAATAAGGGGTATCACACGAAGTTATTGTAAACGTACTGGTATTTGGATGAAAAAATTGGTACATGAGTAAACAAAACTGATTTATAGTGGCTATTTTTATAATTTTGTAAAATACGGCAGTCCGAGGGGGATCAAACCGAATTTTAAAAAGAAGAAAAAATTGTAAATAAACATTTTAAACATTATTTTGCAATTTATTTGTTGGAATAAAAACTTGTAACGCCTTTTCGGAAATAATCAGGGAAGTCGCCCTATTTTAATAATTTCTGATGTTGGGAATATGGTACAAAGGCCCTAAAAAGATGTGAAAAAACTTTGGGAAGACAAATTTAGAAAGGTCTGAAAACTAGACGGCTTTTGTAGGAATATTAATTTTCTAGCCCTCTTTGGTGTCTTTAGTTAATTGATATGAGAAAATATTTATTCCTTCTCCATATATTCAAATTTAACATATACTACATGTTTCGACATAACCATGTCATCATCAGGTAAAAGAACTAGTGATCACAAAGAGGTAGCCTATATTCTCACTCAACGGCTGAACGCTATATGTTAAGTGGATGCTTTGGCACTCTTTCGGTTTTGGGGTCGTCGACAGCTTCAGAAGGCCTTTCCGAGTCTTCTAGCAGGCTGGAGGTCTTTCCAGCATCTTTGAGGTTGAAAATTTTTGCAAAGGAAGACATTCGAAAACAATTATAGGATTTTCAGATCGTTCTATATCACTTTCAAGGAATTGTGGCACATTTAAAGAACGTTCTAGCCTGTGGGACCTTTACCAGAACTTTATAAGGTCTTTTAAAAAGCTCGACAAGGGCGTGGAAAACTCTGGAAAGCTTTAGAACGATGGAAAGGTTTTAAGTAGATACCCTACTGCTTTCCAGAGCTTTCAACGTCATCCTGAGTTACTGAATTCCAATCCGTCGTGCATTTTAGAACATTAAAAGAGCCTATTCAGGTTTCGCAAGGGCCTGAGATGGTACAAATGTCTGGAAAGGTACGGCACGCTCAGGAAAAGATCTACAAACCCTTGGAAAGTCTCTGATTGGAAATAATGCTAATTATTTCAAGAGGTCAGGACTTCGTGCTTTCCCGAGATTTTTTAAACTCTTATTTCATGTTGATTAAACCGAGTCAATATTGTCAAAAACGGCTATCTTTTGTTAATTAAAAAATGAGACGCGACGGATTTAATCAAGTTTGCACAGAAAACAATAGCAAATCAATTGGTGATAGGGAAATAAAACAATCGCCACTATAGATACAGGATAGGTAACAATATTGTTCGAATAGCTTTCTTTTGTTATTAATTACCTAAAACTGTGTTCGTTGATGAACACGGAACAAATACAATTGGGAGTTATCAATTTGGTACCTAACGTTTATGTTGTGTTCGTAATCCTACCTAATTCTTAATTGTTTATGCGTACCTAACTCAATACGAAGATGCACAATTAATTCTTTGCCAAAAAAATGTACAAAGCTTTGAATCATAAAAACGTACGCTCAGGTAATAATTAGGTAAATCACTTACCGAAATGCTCAATTTCCAAGTCTTGGGTTTCTACCACATAACAAACGATCTATTTATCGATTAATCTTCCAGTGTAATCAATCTTAAGGGTAGTTTAGCCCAAGTCTCGCGAAAATTATCGAAAAAGACGAACCCGCACGTTTCAAAGCACACTGAGGACGGTTACTGTTCTCGACTGGGCCCTTATCGCGATAGACAGCAGTCGCGCGAGTCGGTGATTGGTGCATTTTGGCGTTCGAACATGTTTATAATCCGCGTCGAAAACTAGAACCTATTAAATTACATTAATTATTGCAAAATTATGCATAGAATCAGGCGCACTTGTGAATATTATGAATTGTGGACGTTCCCGAGTTTAGTAAATTGAGACGGTAGTACTCGATTGGGAAAAAAAGATGTTGCAGACTTGAGACTAAGAACATGGAAAAACCATAATTAGGGTAAAGCGGCGATGTCCCCCAAGTCTCCAGGGTGGCCCCGACGTTAAACCTTTGGGATTTGAGAATTCGGTAGTCCTAGGGCGAAGAGTGTCCGAAAGATCTGTATAAATAAATAGTAGCTCCTTTAAATGCAATGAAAAGCACTTTCGGTCTACCTCTGAAGCCTGAAATAATTTACCACTTGTGATTTTATTTTGTATTCATAAGGGGAACCCGACCAGGCGGCACTTAGGCGCACCAAATGCCCTTTGTGCATACCCCATTTCTTTCACAACCAGGTTCGATGACCGTTCGTCTCAATAAACGATAAGGCCCTGTTTAACCTAAGTTGCTTCACCCTCCCCGGTTCCAGATAACTGTAGAAGGAGCTGATGTCTGTGTCCCGTCTAAAGGGGTGCAAGTAATAGTTAACCATCCAGTGTCTCTTTTTCTAATGGTTTCTATTCAGTTCTAGAAGCTTCAAGGACCCCGATTTGCAAAGGGGCTGTGGACTGTCTGAGTCCAGTTGCTTGTTACCACTGAGCCTGGTCACCCAGTCTTTTAATCCTGGCCATGACAACGGAAGGAGTAATTCCTAGGGTAGGCTCCGGCCCGACGAAGACTCCACCACTGCTTTCGCCAGCCAGCTCGTTCGCCCATTATCGTTGTTCCCTTTCCGCAGTACGCTGGCACTCAGATCATCTATTTCAGACTCATCGAATCTATCGAGAGTCAGAATCTGTCGACAGACCCTCAGCGCCACCTGACGGTCAGTGTAAATGTCAATTGCTTATTACGGTACCCTTTACGGAGGTTCCCCTCTGCACAGGAAACAGGCGGGTGCTATGCTGAGCAAGAGAGAAGCTGATGTCAGCTCTCGGTCGATAGCCCCTTTCCGCCAGGGACCCGTCTGTCAACCACACTGGCCTCTTAGGTTTGAGGAACGGGCAATCTGAGTTCAGCTCAGGGTGAATCTTTGGTCTTAGTAAGACCGCCCCGGATCACATCCCTTCTTACGGGAAGAGGTTTCCTCCCAGATCCCCCGTGCCCAAGGTTGCCTCAATCCTTCCACTCGTCCCAATCGTTTAGCCGTATCGATGGCTTTTAGCTTCTGCCCCCAAAGCCGTGTAAAGCCTCTAGTCACAGAAGTGCTTCCTGTAGGTTGTTCTGCGCATCCTCGCACCCTCGATATCTAGAAACGTTCCCAGGGATCCCCCCCCCCCCTCCCTTTCCAGCCTGTAAGCATGTGGAATGGATATTTTATTTATTTTGCCTTTATTTTCGTGGAGAGTGGAAAGAGCGAAATTTGATGACCGTCTGACATACCTTCAAGGAATAGGCTAGCTATACCTATTGCAACAAAGGGTTCTAGGACCATTTCCCTAAAAGTATAGTTTAACGCGGTAGAAGTGAGTCCGCGGACGGACGGACAAAACGCAAAAAAAATGTGCTAAAAATATATAAAGACATTTAGGTTAAATGGGGGAAAATTTCCCCCCTTTTTGTGACAAAAGAAATTTTCGAAAAAGGTTTCTAAAATAACTGAGATATCCTCGAAAAACTGAAATTGCCAAATTTCGTTTTGAGTTTACGGAAATGGAGTGTTCTCCTTAGCATATATGCATCGGCACCTTTTTTCGGAGAATCTAAACTGTTATCAGTATATAACACGCTAAAGAGGTAGGATAGCTACAGGGTAATATTGTTATGGGGGCGTTATTGGATATTGGATTGTGGTGGCGATGCATTCAAATGAATTTTCTTTTTCTGTCGTCTATCGCAATCCGTAAACATTGAATATGGCGTCTATAAGAAATAAAAAGTACTAGCGTGTTACGGAAATTCTGATAACAGATTCAAATTCTGCGAAAAAAAGGTGTCGTCTATCCATTTCGGACCGTTTAGGCGAGGGAAATTGAAAACGAAATTTAACATTTTCAGTTTCTCCGTCATATCTCAACTATTTTCGAAGGTTTTTCAAAAATTTCAAATGCGTTTCTTTTTTGGTCAGTTTACATTTTACAGTTTACACTTTACAGTTTACAGTCTACAGTTTACAGTCTACAGTTTACAGTCTACAGTTTACAGTCTACAGTTTACAGTCTACAGTTTACAGTCTACAGTCTACAGTTTACAGTTCACAGTTTACAGTCTATAGTTTACAGTTTACCGTTTTTCGAAGATTTTTAAAAAATTTCAAATGCGTTTCTTTTTTGGTCACCAAAACGGACAACTTTTGTCCACATTTAACCTACGCTCATGTATCTCTCATCGTTACAGAGATCCGAATAGAGAGCTACGAATTTGAATCACCCTGTACATAGAGAAATAACATCTGTATGAACTTGCCAGAGCCACAGCTTTATGTACGTTTGTAGAGAGGAGCTCCTAAATGGTAAACATTTTTTATTGTTTAATATTAAATAGGTACTTGTAACACACTTCTTGATAACGTTATTGATTCTAGTTATATGGACGTGCAACTCATTAAAATCGAACCAAAACAAGAAGAAGAAATTCATTCCGATCTTCAAGATAACCTCTTAGTAAGCAACGAAGCTTTGGTTACAATAAAGGAGGAAATTACCATTACTGCACAGTGCTCCAAATTGCTCAATAATGAAAAAGTACAACAACAAACTGAATGTGACTTTGGTCAACACATAGCAAATGGTAAGTACCTAAATTGCAAGTTAAACACCTTTTAAAGAATAATGTTTCAGAAGCCTTTAACTGGGCTCATTGTGATTATGGAACAAAGAATAAAAAGTTGCTTCAACGGCACAAATGTAATGTGCTACAATGTGGTCACTGTGTTTACAAGACAAATTTTGAATCCTACTTAAAACGGCACCTTTTGAAACATAAGGAGTTGAAATGTACTAATTGTGACTACAAGACACATTACAAAAGCAGCTTTAAACGACACCTTTTAAAACATACGGATTCTAAAGATTTCAAATGTGTTCATTGTGAGTATGGAACAAATAGTAAACAATCTCTGAAAGGGCACATTTTAACCCACAAACTTTCTAGTAATGTAAATGTGTTAAAATGTACTCATTGTAATCATGAGACAACTAACAAAAGCAACTTTAAACGACACCTTTTAACACATAGTGATTCTAAAGATTTTAAATGTGTTCATTGTAATTACAAGACAAATAACAAATACTACTTTAAACAACACCTATTAAAACATAACAATTCTAAAGTTTTTAAATGTGATCATTGTGATTACGAGACAAATCACAAACCCAGCTTTAAACGACACCTTTTAAATCATACCGATTCTAAAGCTTTCAACTGTGTTTATTGTGATTACAAGACAAATAACAAATACTACCTTAAACATCACATTTTACTTCATACCGATTCTAAAGATTTTAAGTGCGGTAATTGTGATTATCAGACAAATGAGAAACGCTATTTTAAACGCCACCTTTTAAATCATACCGATTTTAAAGAGTTTAAATGTGCTCATTGTGATTATGGAACAAACGATAAGCAATGTCTTAAAGGACACATTCTAACACACAAACTCTCTGCTAAAGTGCTAAAATGTGAAAAGTGTTATTACGAGACAAATAACCAAAGCAACTTTAAACGACACCTTCGAACACATACCGATTCTAAAGACTTCAAGTGTGTTCATTGTGACTATGGCGCAAATAATAAACATTCTCTGAAACGACACATTTTAACACACAAACTTTCTTGTGCTAAAATGTCCTAATTGTGATTATGGAACAAATAATAAACAATGTCTTGAGCGACATCTTATAAAACATAAAGTTTCTAAAGAAATAAGATGAGCTTATTGCTTAATTTAGTAACCTCTAGACCCTAATGCCTTCAAAAAGATCCCCGGAATAACCCCTTCCTATTTTTACTTAATTAAATGACGCCTAGTAATTTTTTTTCGTGTTACTTCCCCCCTCCCCCCAAGTGTACGAACTTAAGACTACCTAGGCCCTCAATTTTTTGCTGAATCTCAATTCACACAATGTGGGGGCAGCACCGAGTTAAGATTATCCTTTTTTAGAAAACCCAAAACTCTTAAAAATCCAAATTAAGAGATACCATTACAATGGAAAGGTTCTAATGGGCACTTGTAAAAGGTTGAAAGTTTGAAAATGATTTTTAATTTTTCAGAACTCACTTTCTATGCCACTTGCATAAGATCTAGGTGAGAATTGTATAATGTTTCGTATACCTACCATAGTTTTAGACCTAGACCGTTCTAGAAATTCTTCATAGGCTTACGAAGAGGTGCTAAAAGGTTAGATTACAATGAAAAGTGCCTAAGACGGGTTTCCCAAAACTTTCTAAACCATTTTTAATCTCCTTTCGAGCGCTATGTTAATAAAGGCCCTGGAAAGAGGTCAAAAGGCATTCTAAAAATCTAAGAGCCTCAAATTCTTCCTGAAGTCTTTAGACTATCGAAAAAGATCTTTTGAGCCTATTCCAAAACGTTCTAGGCTCTCTCAAAAATTCGATCGCCTTCCAGAGCATTATAAAGTTTCCAGAGCAATGAATACCCAAAGGTTTCCAGAAATTTATGATGCCTTCCTCAACTGCTTGTACCTCCTCAGCTGCATGTTCGGTTCCCACAATGGTGTAGGCTCTAGAAAGGGCATAACGAATCATTTAAAATCTTTTTGGCGGTTTTCTGAAAAAAGAACTTAAGTGACTGCAGACAGTTCTTGAATGCTCTCGAAAACAAAAACCATTTTAGGACAGAACCCTCCAATTCTCTCCAGAGGTCTCAAATACTCCTTTTTAGAACAGTTCCGAAGCTTTTTGAGGCGTTCCAAGCCGTTTCCAGAGGTAGAGGAACCCAGTTAGTCTTGGAAAAACCTATACCGCTCATACCAAGACCTATTTCTAAGACCGTTAAAGACCTTTTTTTTGTAGAAATTTCTAAATACTGGAGAAAGGGCACACTGCTAGTCTCCGAAAAATCCTCTGGTTCAAAACAGTCGTACAATTTCCTAGAGCACTGAAAAGCCTTCGACGGCACGGTATGGTATGGTCTTTTTAGGAAATTATGGTGTGCTACCAGTATTTTTAGGCCTCCCCATGGTCTTTCAGAACTCACTTTTTTATAAAGCGTTTGAAAACTTGCACTCCCAAAAGCTACCAGCAGCCACAAAGACCTAAAGGGGCTTCAAAATTCGTACGGTGATTTAGAAACCTTGGTGGCTTGAAAACCATCATAATCTCGGACGGCCATTGCTCGGAAAAATGTGTATTGGGCTCTTAAGATTTTATAGTGGTCTGGAGAGCTTTCGATTACGTGAATTTCTAAATCCGAAAGAGTTTAAAGCCAGAAAGAGAAAGGCTTTATAAAACAATAGTACAAGAACCGGGTACTCCACTGAAGCAGATCTTATTTAAAGTCCTCAGTATTCTCATGGTTACCAACGTCTTCAATTTTTCATAGTTTCCTAATGTTTTTAAGGTTGTTCTACGTATCATATGGGTGTGTCGTAAATAAGAGCGACTTGGCTCCTTGTTAGGTTCAAACAGTTATATTGCCTAATTACAAAATAAATGTAATTGAATCTGTTCAAGTGTAACCCTTTAGAAATAAGGGTATTAAGATTTAGTTTCCAGTTCACAAGTGAATAAATAAGATCAACGATATTTCATATAATGATATTATAAATAGTAACAATTTTATGGTAGTGTAGATAATAAATATAGGAATGGCATGTAAATTTAGGAACTAAAACTGCAAAAAAAGTATGCATGTAAATCTAAAATGTTAACTACCGATGCCTGCGCGCCCTTTTGGCAGGTTTCGGTGGAAGCATTCTTTCCCAAATTGCGTTTCTTTTCCTGTGCAATTCTTCCACCTCGCCCTCGCTGAGGAATAATTCTTCATCGTGCTCATCCAAGAAGAGGTCTTCGCCGTTGCGGTACCGCTTGAAACAAAAATATTAAGCTCGCCTCAAAAAAAGCACGCCATGTATCTACTTACATCACGTTTCCTTCTCCTAAATTCTTCATCTTGGGCTGCCCACTCGCACAGAATTTTCCACATCTGATGAACGGCCTCCACGATATTCTCGTCGGTAAAGCGGAAGTGCGACGGCCTGCCCGATGTGTAAAACAGTTTGTAAATGCGCCACTTGTAATTGACCGGAAGATAATCCCTCTTCACCATCCAGTACCCCATACGATATTTCAAGCTGATTATAAACACAAGCCTCTTGCTGACGAACTGCGCGACCTCCGACGGCGTAAACGCAAACTTCAACTTCCGGTGCGTGAATTTCAAACACTTCAGCGCGGGAAGATTAAAAATCGAATCCGCGATGTTCCTCTCCCGCTCGAGGTACGTCTCGAATTTATGCGGACGCTGCAAATCGTACAGTCGCAGTTCCTCTTCCTCCGCGCCGATTTTCGCGAGGTACTCATCTAAAATTTCGTCCCCAAATTCACTCCCCCCCGGCCGCGTCGGTTAAAAAACTCACCGTAATTCTCCACCTCGAAGTCGGAAGACGCGAAGAAACCGGAAGAATCGCTGCTCGCGCTCATTGAATCGCCCGTGACATTGACAAAATAAATGCGTAATTTGTTATTTCGTGAAAGTATGCGGACCTTGACTGATTCGATCATGCGAAAAGGTTCTTTAATAATAAGGTTAAGAGAACGCAAAATTCGGCGGTCGGCCAAAGTTCTTTTGACCCAAAAGCGTACTGACATTTGGTGAATAGCGCGCAGGTGGTAGAAACTGGTCCGACGATTGCGCTACAATATGCGATAGGTAACGGTATAAATACCGGGAGGGTGACTAATCTTTGATTAAATCATTATCGCAATGCAACAAACAATAAATTCATTTTCTTTTTATTGAATTATAAATCCAAATATTCATAATAATAATTGGAGAATTCACATGACCTGGAGAATAAGAGGGATGTGATCAACCCTCACAATAATAAGTTAATGCGGCACTCTTTTTAAAAGGGTGTCAATTTCTGATAGACTTGTATTTCTCCCTTAAAGCACAGACAAATTAGATAGCACCCGGAGAAATGTATATAAATTTAAGAGTATAATCACCCGGTTTACTTGCAATAAAATCGCAGTTTATTACTCGACGGGTTAGGGGGTTGTAGGCAACCCTTATATCACTGAAAATATGATTTAGGCAGCAGTGAGAGACATCATAATGTCTGATGCGATTTAAGCAATTCGTAATCGGTAATAATCGGTAATAATAAATAAAGGATCTCGAGGATCGTTAATAAATCGGGGGGATTTATTAACGATCCTCGAGATCCTTTATAATTTTGTATTGCTGTCTGTCTGTCCGCCTGTCCGTGTGTACGATAACTTTGTGTAGAAACGTCCGATCGTTTTGAAAATTGATACACATGTTCTTCAGGATATATGAAAGCTCACTATTGTTTTTTGACTACGTAGACCAACGGGTCAAAAAGTTACAGCTCAAACTTTGCCCAAATCTCCAAAACGGGTTTCTTGTTACAAAGAGCATATGAATGTCCGATTTTCTGTTAGTAAATATTCCTTAAACCTCGGGCAACTATGCAGATTCAAAAAAATATATTGCGCATGCGCATTCCAACTGTTGTACTCGTATTTTCGCAATCCCATTTTTTATTTGTTAAGATATTTAAATCAAAGTTGGTATCTAGGCACCTCAAATAAAAGTAAAACAAATGCCGAATCGAAAAATTTGTTTTGCGCATGCGCACTTTTTTTTAAAATTTGTAAACATACAGTGTGTCCCCGGATGGACTGAACGAGGGAAAAAATTTTTGATTTTAACTACGCAAAAATGTCATTCTTTATAAAAATTTTTGCTTTCCTCAAAACCACCTATTCTGAAATAAAAATCTAGATATTCCTTTTGGCGGGTAGAAAATTATAAAAAACGCAAAATCTACAGCGGAAATTTTTCTAAGTTGCATGTTTTTGATTAAATCAGACTATCATTGTATATTCCATGGCAACCTGATAAGCAAATCAAGTTAAAAAAGACACCTTAGAGCTAAAGAGAAACATTTTATTTTATTCATATTTTATTCCATAACACTGAACAAGGTACACTCTTTGTTCTAAAGTTAGCATTACAAATACGGAATGACATTAACAGATAACAAGTAACTTGATTTACTTATCAGGTTGCCATGGAAGATACAATGATAGTCTGATTTAATCAATTGGATCATACTGGCAAAACTAGCCCCTGGCGGGGAAGGATTCAACTAAATTATATTTTGGTTGATTCTTGTTGCCCAAGGAATGCTCTTTTCAACGATACCAAATTTGTTACAGTTACAATCGGTCAAACGGTTAAGAAGTTAAAGCAGGTTATTGCAAAAACAATTGAACGCCCCGCGCCATCTTTGTTTTTGAAATAACTAAGTTTTTGTTTTTACGAAAATGATAGATAAACTGGTTCTCTTTAAAAATGTGAAAAAAGAATGTTTAGTTTATTATGCGAAATTTAAAGTAAATGCAATTTTAAAATTTAAGATGGCAGTTACGCCCTCTGGTGGTCATTTTTAGAACTTGAAAATATTTTCCAGCGATTCTTCATGAGCGATTTACCCAACAATTTTACTCCTAAGTCATACGACGAACGGTTCTCGAGATATGGCCGAGGAACAGTCTTATTGGGTCACCCGGTACACAGTAGGAATGAGATGAGGGGTAGGTAAGGAGAAGACTGACGTTAATCAATGGGATTTTCAGTAAATCGTGCTATTGTGAGTCATTTTAGTCATCAGGAGAATAACGAATTTCAGGGGTTGAAAGGAATAATTAGGGAAATTTAGTGAATCAATGAGGGTAAATTTGTTAGGTGCTTTAAAACAAGAAAAACAGTTGTCAGTGTGGCGATACGCCGCATAGACATCCGGCAGCAAACTAAAACGTGCTGATCCCTCATTGATCAAAACGGTCAACCGATGAGAGCGTAGCGTCCTTGGCCGCAAATGTTTAAAAGCAGAGTTTCGAACCCTGAAAAGGCAATTCCCGCTTCGACCTAGACCAGAAAACATCTGTTCACGACCCCAACCTTTGGTTCCACTAAGTCAATGCGTTATCACCAATATGATACGACGCCCTTCCTACAAACGTAGGATACACGTACTCACTTACGCTCATCGATCTCGGTAGAACGCCGATACTATCCCCCACCACTTTTTGTGACGTCACAAGGGCGTGGCTTTGGGATTTCACCGATTACCTCACAAGGTCATGACCTTGGGATAATAATAATAAATAGTCTTTATTATATTAAATAGAGAAGGAATATAAAAAATGAGGAAGATTAAAGATAAATCTCAAGGTCATGTGACGCTATATGGTCCCGGGATTCTCCAAGATCATTGCCCCGGGATTTGTCATGGGGCTTGGATGCTGGGCAAATATCGTGACTGCAAGCTAGATCAAGGTCGTGACCACTGGGTTTCCCCAAGACCATTGCCTTTAACTTTGATGTAGGGTTTTCCCAAGGCCGCGACCTTGGACGTTGACCTCGTGTTTCCCTAGGGTCCTGGCATTGGACTATTCGACTTCAAGTCCCTATAACACTGGAATGGAAATAAAGTCAACGTTTAAAAATGGCCACCCGAATGACTATTCCCTCCGAAACTAAACAAGATCCCGCTAAAATTTAAAAAGTGGCACGTGATAAAAAACCTATTGCAGGGCCCCCTTACGTTAGTTCTAAACAACGCTTTGACCTGAAGCACAGTAGGGAAGGAACGTAAAATAAAACACTGAAATTGTGAAAAGTTTGTTTAATAATCATCGCAATTATTAAAATTGTGAAAACTCGGAAATTTAAGTCGAAATAAATTACATTGCAAAAATAAACTTTGACAATTGTAGTTCACCGGATAAAAATAGAAATAGGTTGGGAAAAAAAAGATCTTACCAATAAAAAAACCAGCTGTCAATTAATATCAAATTGTGTTGGAAAATTAATTGTTTGTAATGATCTGAATGCGTAACATAAAATTATAACATAAAAGTAGCAGGTAAACTTCAAGAGGTATAACATGTAGGTTAAAAACAAGTTTTGGGAATTATGGGTAAGGTAAGCAGGTACCAGGATTCTAAGAAATGGTGAAATACACACGATGTGACTCATCTTTGGTGCAATAAAGTTCTTTTGTTAAAAGCAAGATGGAAAATTACATGGCCTTGTAGACAAATTTAACTAAAAACACGATATGTGGAAATTATTAAATCGCCACTCATTTATCGCACATAGACTCTAAACTGAAGAGCTTTGATTAGCGTAATCCCGCTCCTGCAAGATAGGTAACCCGCCCCTGGTTTCGGGGTTTCGAGTCTACAGTTGAATGTCGAAGACAATCACGGAATTAGGTGTCGTAGCTCCATTTTTACTACAGTTTTTACCACCCCCGTGACTACTTCATTCACGGAGAAAATGTTTAGTTACAAACAACAAGTCAGTATATACATCAAACGAATCGGTAATTTCCACATATTAAAATAAAATGATCAACACTTATATGAATGTTACTTCAGGGACAAGACCAAGTAATCAACATCAATCAACATGAATTAAGCAAGCATTGCACCAAACAATTACAAACAATAGCATAACGGTATTAAACATGTAATTCTGCATTGCGGTTAAATCAAGTAAATTTCAAAAACAAGGATTGAAACACACAAAAAATATAAAATGCGGCATACAAAACACAAATACGATATAAAGAAATGCAAAAATTACTACCTGCATTAAATAACACAAAATAAGAACAAACATTATGGAGCGACGCGTTCACGACCGCCCGATGCCAAACATAACCCCCGTTCGTGCTGTTTGGATGGCGCAGGCAGTTTTTTTCCACCTAGAAATTGCATTGTTGCCAACTCTCGAAAATGTTTGTATCGCCGTAAGTTGTATATACCGGGCGGAACCTCTCAAGACCATCCAAAGGTTCCTAAAGGTGATCTATTATGCCTTTTCTAAAGGCACAAGGCACTATATACATTTCTGGAAACCTTTTAGTACGGTCTAATTGAAATCTAGCAAAACGGCCTTTATGCACTTTTTGGGTTTTCCGGGATTCGAATAAGCCTCAAAAAGTTGTTTAAAAAATGCTCTGAAGAACCTGGAACGCTCATAAAGTTTTTTTTTGAGGGGCGGTGATAAATTCTAATAAAAAAAGCAAATAAAATCCACATTTCAAAATTGCGCTGCGCAGCCGCAAAACCCAACTTTCTTATACAACCTAAGCATTAAGGTGTTTTACAGAGTAGGTATTCTAGATACATTTGACACTCAAACAGGACGCTTTCCAACGATTTCTCGCGCCCTTGGTTAAAGTATGCAGCTTCCGGAGAGTCATTTATCGCTTTTCAGTGCAGTGGAGATTTTTCAGAATCCTTTCGCTTCTTTCTCCAACAGCTTTCACGCGCTGTATACTTATAACAGTTATAACGTAGTGTAACGAAGCACCCGTTTTCGTACACAAATTCGATAAGAATTAATGAACGCTCGGTACATGAATGAATGCTAGCAGCTTTAGTGAACACTCGGTACATGGAGAAACTCAAACGAGCGCTTTTTTTTTCGAGAAACTGTCCGGATCCCTTTTTCTATTCTAGAGGGGAGTTGGAAATAGAAGGTAACGGCAATTGCTTTAGTTTGAAGCATCGTTTTAGGCGCCGATATAAGGAAACCGAATTATTTAGTTTCGAATTGTTCCCGTAGAGATATTTGAATTATTCTTGCAGCCTTCGTAAAGCTCTCGTCCTTCGGAAGACGAGAGAAAATTAGTAAGTAGGTATTGCATGATTTGAGTAACTCGGCAAAGCAAAGCAAGTGTCATTGTCATGTTAAATTTGGCAGTGCCGGAACGCACTTTTTTTCTTAAAATACAATACTGACTTTGGTTTAGTGTCATGTGCTTTATAGAAAACAAAGATAATTCCGATTACTTCCGAAGATGCCAGAAAAATTTGAGTTCAACAGGATGGTGCACCCACGCACAACGCTCTAATCGTGCGCGAACAACTAAAATTTTCCATGGAAACATATCTGGTTAAGGTTTTTAAATCAGTTATTATCAGAATGACAAGCCCAACAGGGGCCATATTTTATTTGTTTTGTTGGCGCCCAAAATGTAGGCTGCATATTTGTATTTTTTCTGTAAAACCAATGTCGAAACCATATGACACCTCTGCTAATTAGCGGTCTGATTAGGTTGTGTTTGGTGTCAAATGAAGCGCGCTTAATTAGCATGGATTTTAAGACCAGCCCCAGATTTGTATCATAACCGGAAGCTGAGAAAATAATTCAAGAAGCTTTAATTTTATTTTAATTTGCTTTCCTTTGTTTTGTTTCCGCGTTAGTTAGTTTTGTGCTACCGTTTCCGTGTGGCGTAATTCTTTGGTCTTCTAGTGCGTTTAGATATCTTCCAGGGTTTTGAAAGTTAAGCTCTGGTTTGTAGAGAATCACAAAATATCAAAAATCACAATGGAGATGGTAAAGAACAAGCTCAAATCAAAGCATTTTATTTAATACACAATTTTGCACAAACTCAACTACCGTTGAAACTTCAGCCATTCCCCCCTCGCCCGTGTCTCCACACATTAACGTTTTATTCACGACCGGCACCAAACGATAGCCCCAAGTTTGAAGCAGAGCTATTTGACTGGCCGTCAGGGGATGCTCGTACATTCTCGTGTTCATCGCGGGACAAAACAGCAACGGCTTGGAAAGATCCCACGCGCGCGCCGTGCACGTCAGCAAGTTGTCGGAGATCCCCTGTAAGTTTGGGTTAGTAAAAGCTAGATCGACTCCATTCGCTTACATTGGCGACCTTTGCCAATGTGTTAGCGTCCAACGGTGCGATCAGCAGGAGATCCGCCCACTTTCCCAGTTCTATGTGCAGAACCGGGTCGCCTCGCGTCGACCACGACTTCCACTCCCTGTCGTCGTCGAACACCTGGACCTGCTCCGGTATATCGTGCGAATTGAAAAAGTGCCTCGCACGTTCAGTGGTAATAACGCGAATCTAAAAATACGATTATAATAGTCGACATAAAGAGTTCGAAACCTACATGTATGTCGGGCTGAAGTTCCAACAGTGATTTGACGAGTATCGGTAGCTTAATCGTAGCGACGCTACCGGTACAACCTAGTAATATATTAACCATTTTTTGTGTCGTTAAAACCTAACTTTGACCAGTCTTCTTTTAGCATGAGATTGTTGTCCATACGACAACCCAGGTACTCTCTCGCTTCCTCTCGACACAATGAATTGTTGTTGTCGTTGGTGTACAGGCACTTCATATACTTTATCATTGACGCTTTGCACAGACCTTCATGGTCCAAGGGAAAGCTTCCTTTATCGGGGGGCGTCGGTTGGAAAATTTTCTGTCCAAAAGTGTAACTCGACATGGAAATTGAGGTTAGAAGTGCAGCTCACATGATTCAGTAGATGCAATGTACCATAAGAGTTACATTTGAACTAATTCTTTCCAAATGAACTACACTTCAAAATATTTTTCTGCGGTCTTTGGACAACTGAAAAAGCCTGTTCAGAAATCCAAAAATGCATAGCGCCCATCCATGAATTTGTATACCCTTTTGAGAGCTTTTTTAAACAATTTTGAAGTACCTTCTCTGTGGCCTGTAGAATCCATAATTTCAAACAGTTCCAAGATTGGGCTACTAGTTCAAAAGTTACAGCCCTTTGAATTTTCTTTCGAAATTGGTTTCTAGTCTATAATTTTTGATTGAGAAGTCTGATCGAAAAAGTACGAATTGATTTGGATTCTACGCACCAAAATTAATATGAAAAAGTGTTTTCCCGAGAAATTTTGGTGTAGTCGATTTTTGGTAAAAAAGGAAGGTTATACACTGCCTTTTTTTGAGCCCCGAAAAAAAAATTGTCTCAAATCGACCCGGAAAAAAAATTTTCTTATAGAATGTGGCCTGTAGAATCCATAATTTCAAACAGTTCCAAGATTGGGCTACTAGTTCAAAAGTTACAGCCCTTTGAATTTTCTTTCGGAATTGGTTTCTAGTCTATAACTTTTGATTGAGAAGTCTGATCGAAAAAGTACGAATTGTTTTGGATTCTACGCACCAAAATTAATAACAAAAAGTGTTTTCCCGAGAAATTTTGGTGCAGTCGATTTTTGGTAAAAAAGGAAGGTTATACACTGCCTTTTTTTGAGCCCGAAAAAAAAATTGTCTCAGATCGACCCGGAAAAAAATTTTCTTATAGAATGTGGCCTGTAGAATCCATAATTTTAAACAGTTCCAAGATTGGGCTACTAGTTCAAAAGTTACAGCCCTTTGAATTTTTTTTCGAAATTGGTTTCTAGTCGATAACTTTTGATTGAGAAGTCTGATCGAAAAAGTACGAATTGATTTGGATGCTACGCACCCAAATTATTAAGAAAAAGTGTTTTCCCGAGAAATTTTGGTGTAGTCGATTTTTGGTAAAAAAGGAAGGTTATACACTGCCTTTTTTTGAGACCCGAAAAAAAATTGTCTCAGATCGATCAGGAAAAAAATTTTCTTATAGAATGTGGCCTGTAGAATTTATAATTTCAAACAGTTCCAAGATTGGGCTACTAGTTCAAAAGTTACAGCCCTTTGAATTTTCTTTCGAAATTGGTTTCTAGTCTTTAACTTTTGATTGAGAAGTCTGATCGAAAAAGTACGAATTGATTTGGATTCTACGCACCCAAATTAATAAGAAAAAGTGTTTTCCCCTTTTCTCTATTATTTTGTAATTTAACACCATACATGTTTAAGGTAATAAAAAAAGAAAAAATCTAATTCAATGACCTATGTTATAATTTAAAAAATTCAAGATGGCGGTCGCACTCAAAAAAATATGTCAAATATTTTCAAATGGAAACGTTCAAATTTTAATGTCTATATCTCAAACGGTTTGAGTGTGCCAACTTTGGTTCCATCTTAAATAGCGACCCTGTATATGCTTGGGTTATACGGATACGGTTACTGAGCCACACTTTTCTATTGTCAATTGTTTTTCTAAATAATTTTTCTATGCTTTTGTGAAGTGTGTGAATTTGTCTATAATTTTTTTTAAAACTCTTGGTAAGTGCCCCTCAAAACACCAAGTCTTTTTCCATTCCATTAATTAACAGAGATCCCAAAATGTTTGATCCTATCACCACGTTTGTGAAGACTGAATTCAAGGAGGAAGAAGAAACGAAAACCTCCTTGGAGAAATTGGAATTTGTGAACGATCCACCGGTAACAGTGAAGCAGGAATATTGTGATAGCACCCCAGGATCACAAGAAAGAGAACCACCGATTAAAGAAGAGCACAATTCCTTTTCAATCATCACACCCCAATGTGAAGGCATGCATCGGACAAATTGTGTTAAATCTGAAGAATGTGAACTTTCACTGTCTTACATTTTAAATGAGTTTAAATGCTACCACTGCACTTACTCCACCACAACTAAGCAGTTGTTAGAAACTCATCTTGGTAGATTTCATTTGAGACGAGATCTTTCCAAACGTTTCAATTGTGACCAGTGCAATTATGCTACAAATAATAAGATGAATTTCAAGCGTCATCTTTTAACACACAGCACGTTCAAAGATTTTCCGTGTGATCAGTGCGATTACACCGCGAATAACAGCTTTTACTTAAAGCGCCATGTTTTAACGCATGCTACTTGCAAAAATTTCATTTGCCATCAATGTAATTACGCCTTAAAGAGCAAGGATAGTTTGAAGCGTCACATTTTATCGCACAGTACTTTAAAAAATGTTAAATGTGACCAGTGCAATTACGCAACCAACAATAAGGATAATTTAAAGAATCATCGTCTGATACATAACGTTTCCCAAGTCTTTAATTGTGAACAGTGTAATTACACTACGAAAAATAGGAGATATATACGACGGCATTCGTTAACACACTCTACCTTGAAAAATTTCAGCTGCAATCAGTGTAATTATGCTACAATTACTAACATTCGCTTAAAGCGTCATATTTCAACACACAACCTACACAAAAATTTGATTTGTCATCAATGTAATTACGCGACCCACGACAAGCATAACTTAAAGCGTCACATCGTAACACATTCCACATTGAAGGATGTCACGTGCAGTCTGTGCGATTATGCTACGAACACTAAGAAAAATTTAAATCGACATTTATTAAAGCACGACACATCGAAAAATATAATTTGTGGTCAGTGTAATTATGCCACGAATAGTAAGGCCGTTTTAAAGCGTCATCTTATAACACACTCCACTTCCAAAGATATTAAATGTGATCAGTGCGATTACGCTACAAATAATAAGATAAATTTGAAACGCCATTTTGTAAAACATCATTGCCAGTTGCAGTCACCGACTCCTGCTGCAAATTGTAAAGTGGAATGATAGTACCTAGTATTAAGGGATTACCGTTGCCAATAATATAAGTTGTATACAAAAATTGAGATTGTGTGTTTAATAGAGTGATTTGCGTCTGGCAGGTATTGATACCGGCAGGTAAGAAGGCGAGAGATGACGCACCCCCCACTATTTATATTCTATTAATTGGACCTACTAGTGCGCAATTGATCACAGACTCTAAATTGGTCATTTGCCCATAGCCCGCCCTCACGCCTTCTTGTGCGCCGGTACCATTATTCTTTTGTTCGATTTGCGTTTGAAAATCTTTCAGGACCTTTTTTTTAAACTAAAAAAGCGTAGAAAACTGTTTGCTACTCAAAAGGCCCTGTATGTAGAGGGCGCGAATAAATGAGTGGTAAAAGAACCACGTCCAATTTGTCTGTGACAGTGGAACAACATAACCTTAAAATATCTGCTGACAGTACAGTGAGCTATTTTGCCTGTTTTTGTAGAGCTATGTGGAATTGTGTTTAGCCAAGAACATAATTATTATCAAATTTACCAAGCACAACCAATTATTGATAATTGGGGCCGCAATCATGTCCTCCGATGATGTAACTGTCAAGCTCGAACCAAAGCAAGAAGACACAAGTGCCCCTTCTCCAGCAACGGTTTTTAAAACCGAAGAGCTATCATTGATGATAAAGAAAGAAGCTGATGAGATTGTTGCAAGTGGTGACGTTGACTGTAACCCTTCGAATCATTTTGAGGGCAAAATTGAACTAAGAGATGTCACCGATCCACCCTCTCTTAACTTATACGACGAATTGGTCGAAACCAAAGTGGACGTTTTCAACTGTGGTAGTTCACTCTTGAAGAGCACAAGTGAGAGTTGTCCGTCACAGCAATTTTGCTCCAAGGAATTGAAGTTCAAGTGTTACCATTGCAATTATCAGACGACTACCAAAAGATACTTAAAGCAGCATCTTCTAAATCACAAAAGCCCCGTGGAATATCTATGCGTCCATTGTAAGTTTATGACAAATATTCGCAATCGGCTCCAACAACATCTCTTAACTCACGAAACCTCGAAGCCGTTCAAATGTGACCAGTGCAATTATGCGACAAACTACAAGGGAGCTTTAAAGGAGCACATTTTAATCCACTCAAACTCGAATAATTTCCAATGTCAATACTGTAATTACAACACCGGTGTCGCAAGGTACCTAAAGAGACACCTGCAGAACCACATGACCTCCGTCGCCTTCAATTGTGTCGAGTGTGATTACAGCACGAATTTTAAACAGCGCTACAAACAGCATCTTTTAAGGCACAAAACTTCGAAAGATTTAAAATGTGACTGGTGCAGTTACGCCACAAATGTCAGAGGCGACTTGAATCAACACATTCTGACACATACGAGCGTAACGGAATTCAAATGTGACCAGTGTCACTACCAAACAACTATCGAGAAGCACTTGAAACGGCACATCGTGAAACACACGCTCGTGAAAGAGTGGAAGTGCGACCTGTGCTCCTTCGAATCACACTTTAAGGGGGTCCTCGAGAAACATTCTCTAACACACTCGTCCAAGGACCTCAAATGCTTTCAATGCAGTTATCAAACAAATTCAAAGGTGCTTTTGCGGCGACATCGTTTAACACACTCCGCCGTAAAGTTCAAATGCTCATTCTGCAATTACGAAACAAACGTCAAAGAACTTTTAAGACGTCACGTACTGTACCACACGAGCACCACCGACTTCCGATGCTCCCAATGTAGCTACACCACCAACATGAAGTATTACCTCAAGCGGCACGTGCGCAACCACAGCTCCTCGCGACACTTAAAATGCGAACGTTGCGATTACGCGACTAACAACAGTTACAATTTACATCGCCACCTTTTGACACACGACAAATCGGCGGACTACAAGTGCGCCGATTGCGGGTACACGACCAACTCGGACAGGAACCTGAAGCAGCATCTCAGAAATCACGAGGTCGTCCGGAATTTCGCTTGCGAACATTGCGAGTATCGCACGAGTTTTAAAAATCGCCTCGAAATGCATCTGCTGAGGCACCAGGCGGCGAAGAAGCTGAAATGCGATCGGTGCGAGTACGCGACGAACTTTAAGGACGCTCTGAAGCAGCACCTTATGACGCATACGAACTCGAAGGAGTTCCAGTGCTCCCTTTGCCATTACAGGACCGGTAACGAGAAGTACTTGAGGAGGCACGTTTCGCGGCACAAAACGTCCAGGGATTGGAAATGCGACCGGTGCGAATATGCTTGTTTAGTAAAGGCCGATTTAAAAAAGCATCTTGCGACTCACTGTAGCTGAATTGTGTCTGTGTGTTCGGTTTGTGGTAAGCAAAACTTTAGAATGGGACTGCTATTCTTTGTTACTATGTTATTAATCTAAAAAGTAATTGAATACATATTAAAGTGTCCGAAACTCGATCCCCATATATATAAAAATTAATTAATAAAATTAATTAATTAATTTTAAAATCTTTCTGTCTCCATCACTTACCTTTCTTTTATCGTTCGTTTGTGTATTTTGAGATAGTCTGAGCTGTAATCCGAAACTGCAGGGGAAATTTCCGAGCACGATTTTGCACCATAAAACAAGGTCACTATTTAGTTATTTATGTAACCTGGGATATCCCCTTCACCGAGGTCTCCGAATGCGTTTGAGATTATAGGTACCTGAAGGTCGTTTGATTATGCAAGGCGAACTTGTTTTTCTATTACGTTCAGAAAATTTCTGGTTAGGATTCGGCTATTTTTTTGCGCGTATTATTACCAATTTTATTTATCTCTTATAATTTCCTAAAGGAAGGGGTAGATCAAGTGAAACAAATGACTGTGCATTCTAATGACATCTGTCATTCTTATTTCAAATGCACGATATAAAATGACGTTCAGAACATATGACAATTATGTTTCTATGGAAACGGTCGCGATCGCAGAACCTACCCTTGCTATTTTTGACGTCTCTAAATTAAATTCAGAATGGGGTCATCCCGCCTTCATTTTTTATTTCTGATCCACAAAGTAAAATTAAAAATAAAAAGACCTGTGTGTCCTCAATTTTTATTTGTGAGTAAAATAAACCCAAAATAAATTGTTGAAAAGCTGTGTTTTTAGTCCGAATTTGAAACGCTTCAGACTTAATACGCCACAAACCTACAACCAATCACATAGAAGTGAGCTGGCAACCTTACGCGAGGGTCTGACGTTTGTCACATTTGACGTTTTGAGAGGGATGTTTAACTGCATCTAGCACGAAAGTGACAAGTGCCTGTGACAGATGACGCAAGTTATAAATGCCATTCTCCTGCAATATTGCCAAGTCGTTATGTCATCTGAATGGTTCTAGGAGCTGATTGGTCGGGCTTATTACGTCACAGAGCCCGCCACAATCATATCGTTTTGAATAAACCTTTAAAACCGCACATGTTCATTATTTTTTTTGCTAATCAGCCTCTATTTTTAAATAAACTTTTACTATCCAAAAAAATGTTTTATGGTTTCAGGTACACGCTTATTAAATTAGAACTGCGGAATTCAACTATACTGTAAACCCCCATTGTCAGAAGCTTTACAATGATTTACTTGGCTTCTACTATAAAATAAAGTTTTGCATTATACACGACGATAAAGGGAAACTAACTATCTCGTGAAAGTTAATTCACTCAATGGTTAAAATATCCCTCTATCGTCTTGTATAATAAATATCTATTATTGAACAGTTTTGCTTTTCCTCTTTGTAAAATTAAAAATGCATAATTTGTCATTTTTTAAGGGTAGATTAGTTTTTGCAATATTGCATCTCTCCCTTTGGCAGGCTATCTGTTCTATTCGCCCGATTTTGATCAAAGTTGAAATGTATAATTTGTCATTTTTTAAGAGTAGCTTAGGTTTTGCATTTAAAGTATTTTTCTCTCACATCTTATTTAGATATTGAATGTTTTGTTTTTGCTTTGTTCGCACTCATCTCATAGATTGCAATAATATTGCACCATAAAACTTATTACGGTACCAAAACCACGACCTTGCTCCATAAACGTCTTGATATCGCTCTAGAAAATTCGCTAAAAAATATGTAGTTTATTTTATTGGCCATTGGTAAATAAAACGAACGCGCAAGCTAAAAAGAAATTTCAATTAAATCTAAAAAGTATGTTTATAAAAAATAATAATGTACTTTAATTTTGTGTATTATTTTTTTTTCCATATTATTAATAATTTATATTTGTTAATAATAATTTTATTTATTTATGTTGGGATCCTTGATAATCGAAACAACATGGTACCGGAATCGAAAATTACTGAAGTCACAGAACTGGAACCGGTACCAGAACTTTTAAAAAGTAATTCTACTTAAATAGTGCGGAACCATATGGGTCAGCGAAACCAACCAACGTTGTTATTCCTTAAATTTATAACTGAAGTGAGGGCACTACGAAACATACCTAATGAGTAGGGGGGTCCGGAATAAAGATCCATTTCACCTATAGGTCAGAGATGATGAAAGTTCGAGGAATGGGGTCGATAAACTGAGGACTCCTGTTTAACACTACATATCGGGTAACCCAATAGGACCGTTCTTTGGCCATATCTCGGGAACGGTTCGTCGTATGACTTAGGGGTAACAAAAGTTATTGAGTAAATCGGTCATGAAGAATCGCTGGAAAATATTTTCAAGTTCTAATAATGATGACCATCAGAGGGCGTAACTGCCATCTTAAATTTTAAAATTGCATTTTCTTTAAATTTCGCATAATAAACTAAACATTCTTTTTTCACATTTTTAAAGAGAACCAGTTTATCTGTCATTTTCGTAAAACAAAAACTCAGTTATTTCAAAAACAAAGATGGCGTGGGGCGTTAAATTGTTTTTGCAATAACCGGCTTTAACTTCTTAACCTTCCTTCTCTGCCAGGGGGCTAGTTTTGATACTATAATTCAAAATCCTAAAAAAAACAAATGGAATGATATGACTTTTTCTTTATGAAAAAGTAGCCAAATAACACCCAAAGAAGTCAGTGAACACCGTTTTTCAAAATCTCGTTCCTAACCTCAAATATTGAGAAATTGAGATTAATTAATTAATAAAAATGCTTAAATTGTATCTCATTTGACGTATTTCCGGTATTTGTCGATGGCGCGAAAGATTGTTTGGACCCTACACTTTTAGGTAGGCCTTGGATAATTAAACAAATGAAACACGATGCATTAAAAAATAATAACAGGCGTAATTTGTAAATTATTCTTTTGTGTTTACATTCAGAAAGTGCAGTTTTTTGAATTTGTAATCTTTTCTAAAATGCCGATTTCTAACCAAGAAGCATTTAATATGCTGGCGGCGATGGTTCGTGGTCGATTCGGATAACGCAAATAGAAGATGCGGGCAGCGATGGTCGCATTTTGAAAATACTCAAAATATATCGCCAGTATATTAAATACTTCTTTGTTAGAAATCGGCATTTGAGAAAAGATTACAAATTCAAAAAACTGCACTTTCTGAATGCGTAAACACAGCAGAATAATTTACAAATTACGGCTGTTATTATTTTATTTATTTATTTATTGAAATACTCAAAACAACAGATACATTGTATCCAATGACAGTTTTGAGGACTAAAATAACTCTTAAATTCCGTGATATGAATTATGAATAGAAATAATTGATGAGTATAAGGTAACGAAAAAACAAAAAACTAACTAAATAATCATTAACTGTTTCTTAAAATGCGATCATGTTACATCGAAAATTTCCAAAGAATGAAAGCTATTAAACGTTGTCATCATGCGTATAATCGGTGCTGTGTGATTTAATAAAATGGATTTAGATTGAGGTATCTTAAATAATATCAATTTACGTCTAGTTCTGTGGTCCGGAACATTGAAATTAATTAGTGTGAGCAAATGTGATGAACTCACTTTATTATTTAAAAGTGTATAAAAGAAAATTAAAAGATGATTTCTTCTGCGGTCACTCAAGCTTTTTATACAATGTGTTTGCAAAAGATCCGAATAGTGGTCAAAGAGGGGATATGTTGATGTATGTCGGTACTGCATACGTCTTATGAATTTTTTCTGTACCATTTCAATGGCCTACTGGTATTTATTTGCATAAGGTGCCCATATGATGGATATGCATATTCAAGATGTGGCCTGACCAGTGTGTGATAGAGAATTTTATACGTACTTCCGTTTTTAAGATCTTTGGAAGATCTGAAAATGAAGCCCAAACTTGAATACGCCGCTTTAATTTTGTTTTCAATGTGAATGTTAAAAGACAATTTCTTATCAAAAACGATACCAAGATCGTCTTGGTAATCTACAGTTTCCAAAATTTGACCTGCCAACTTGTAATGAAATATTGCATCCTCTCTTTTTCGCGAGAACCTCAACGATTTGCACTTTTTAATATTGAAATGCAAATCATTTTCCTTACACCACTGCATCTAGATCATATTGTAGCTTCAAACAGTCGGACAATGACCGTATTGGATGACTCAATTTGAAATCATCAGCAAAAAGTAAAGGATCACTAAATGTTACAACGTCAGGTAAGTCATTAATGAGTAACAGAAAAAGGAGAGGGCCAAGATTGGATCCTTGTGGTACTCCCGAGGAAACATTAAACGTATGAGATGTGCAGGAATGAAATGTAACCCATTGTGTACGCTCTGCAAGATATGATATAAAGAACTTTAGCAGGCGGTCGGAAAGTGGTTTACGCTGTCGAAAGCTTTCGAAAAGTCAGTGTATATGACATCATATTGAATTGCTTTTTCTAAGGCTTTCGATACGTTTTGTGAGAATTCAACTAAATTTGTTACAGTGCTCCTACCCTTCATAAATCCATGCTGTTTATCGGATATATAGATATGTTTTGACATGATTGTATATGCGTTTTTGCAACACTTTTTCAAATATTTTGGCAGGTGCCGATAAGACAGCTATTGGTCTGTTTGCAATGTTTTTCTTGAACCCAGATTTATGAAGTGGGCATACTTTTGTTGATTTCCATTTAGAAGGAAATTTGTTAGCTTTAATTGAAATATTAAATAAAATTTTAAATACGGGAACAAATATATCTTTGCAACCTTTTAAAACATACGCAGGAATACCATCAGGTCCTGAGCATTTCTTGGGCTTTAATTCTTCAATTGCTTCACCGATTTCTATCTCATTTATCTCTGTTATACACAATGGTTCCGAAACAGTTACTTTGGTATGGTTTGGTTCAATTTTGTAAGTCGGAGGTACTTGTTTGTAAACTGATGAGAAATAAGTCGCAAAAGCATTTGATATTTCTGAGGAATTGCTGTACGTGACATTGTTGAGATACATTTCCCGCTCCAATGACCGGTCCTTTAGCAAGGCAAAAGGCATTCATGTTGGACCTCATCTCGACCTCTAGATTGGACAGATATTTTGAATATGCACTTTTTTTTTATATCGACTTTAATTTTTTTGCGCAGACATTCGTATTTCATTTGATGGAAATCTTTATTGCTATTATTCCTTTTTAAACGTTTAAAATGGTAATGTTTCTCACCTATATCGCGAATTATTTTATTGTTAAACCAACAAGGATAGCTATTGTCTTTGTTGCTTTTTTACGCAGAGGCACACAGGAATGGATAATTGCGTATAAAATATCATAAAACTCATTGACTGCTACATCAGGATCCGCATAGCGATTTAAAGAATCGAAATTTGTAGAGTTCAAGTAATACTTAGTAAAGTTTTAAAAAATCTGCTGCTTTAAAATTAAACTCAATGTCCCTTTCACATGAGTGATTGTGATAAAGGCCTTGGAGATATTTCGTGAATGGTAAGTGAATCGTTATTAATAAAGGTGGATGATGCTTATCTTCTATACTAATAGGCGATTCTTTTGTTACCTCTAGATTATCTAAAGATGACAGCACTAAATCAAATGTGCGATTTAAAACATTTGTTACGGTATTAAAGTAATAATGCATCGTGTTTCATTTGTTTAATTTTCCAAGGCCTACTTAAAAGTGAAGGGTGTTTTTCTTTCGCGCCATCGACAAATACCGGAAATACGTAAAAAGTAAATTTAAGATGCAATTTAAGCATTTTTATTAATTAATTAATTAATCACATTATCCCAATATTTGAGGTTAGGAACGAGATTTTGAAAAACGGTTTCCACTGGCCTCTTTGGGTGTTATTTGGCTACTTTTTCATAAAGAAAAAGTCATATCACTCCATTTGATTTTTTTATGATTTTGGATCATTGTGTCAAAACTAGCAGGTTATTGCAAAAGCAATTGAACGCCCCACGCCATCTTTGTTTTTGAAATAACTGATTTTTAGCTTCCTAGCATGTGCTAGGTACTTTCTTATTTATGGAGCAATTTTAACGAAATTTGGATGGTAGGTCCCTCTAATAAAAGCAAACAAAATGCATGCGTAAAAAAACATATGTTGACAATTTTTGGTTTCAGCTAGGAAGCTATTCTGTCAAGAATTTGACACCTGGTTTGTTTTTACGAAGATGATAGATAAACTGATTCTCTTCAAAAATGTGAATTTTTTTAGTTTATGATGCGAAATTTAAAGAAAATACAATTTTAAAATTTAAGATGGCAGTTACGCCCTCTGGTGGTCATTTTTAGAATAAATAAAATATTTTCAAGCGATTCTTCATGACCGATTTACCCAATAATTTTTTGACCCCTAAGTCATATGACGAACTGTTCTCGAGATATTGCCGAGGAACAGTCATATTGGGTCACCTGGTCGTGGTTTTTCTGCACCTACCCTGTAAATTGAGAAATAATATTTTCAGCTAATCCCGTAAGCTACGTAGGAGAGGAAGGTTGAATTTTAATTAATTAATTACAAAAATTCCTTGGCAATTTAGCAGGGAAGCACCTTAAATTCAGGTCCGTGATACCCTCAGCGATATTCAAATCCTAACGTTGCTAATTCCCACGCAGAGGAATGATACGCATCATCTTTTTAGCGTATTTCCACAAAAATAAAATAAAAATGCGCTATTGTGACCACTTTGTCCGTCCGTCCGCTCGTTTTGCGACGCTACTAGTTCTTTATCTTAAGAGCTATTGTTCTACTTTTTCCGCTATTTGGTTCGTTATGGTGTCGAGTCTTGTACCAAGGAAGGAATTTTTTCTGTACCGCTTACAAAAAAAGTTATTGTAAAAAAAAACAAAAAACCGTTTTTACATGTTCCATAATTTTACACTTTTGCCGTTTATTAACGATCCTAGAGATCGTTTATAATTTTGCATTGCTATCTGTCGCCTGCCGGTTGGTCTCTCCGTCTGTTCCTTTGTCTGTCCATCTATCTGTCCGTGTGAACGATAACTTTGTTTAGAAATGTTCGATCGCTTTTACATCTCCGTTAGTTATGAACTGAATTGCATGAAATTCAATATGGCCATAGCCTTAGCCATATAATACGCAATGCCAAAAGTTGAATCGAATCGATTCAAAATTCACAGTGCCCTTTTCGCATCTCGACCATTTATAAACCGAATTGCAAACTTTTTTACTTATAAAAATATTTGAATGAAATTTGATACATAGGCACTTGGAATAAAGGAAAATCAACCGCCAATTTCAAAATTTGGTTTTGCGCATGCGCAGTGCCAACATTTTTATTTATGGAAAAATTTAAATGAAATGAGATACATAGGCACTTGGAATAAAGGAAAATCTAGCGCCAGTTTCAAAATTTTATTTTGCGCATGCGCAGTGCCAACTTTTTTAATCTATGGAACCATTTAAGTGAAATTTGATACTTAGGCGCTTGGAACAAAGGAAAATCTAACATTAGTTTCAAAATTTAGGTTTGCGCATGCGCAGTTCCAACTTTCTTATTTAGAAAAGCATTGAAATGAAATTTTTCTCATAAACTGAAATTGAAGTAGCACGTCAACAATGGATTGCCCATGTGCAACGCTATCTTTCATATTTGTGGCCGGATTTTTACGATTTTAATAGAAGTTGCATCTTACAATAATGGGAAATGAATGCAAGTGGAAATGCGCTTCATGTAAATCGTTTACGATTACTTTTTAACTTGTTTACTTGGGTTGGAGCCCATGAGAAAATGAAATGACAAGCTTAAAGTGACAATATTTAATGAATGCATATAAATTTACAAAGTCTACTGCTATAAATAACTACAACACTGGCACACTACCGCAGTCTAACTAACTTTCTGGACCTTTCCTACCATATAGCACTTAATAATCCGTCCCAAAATGGCCATATTGGCGCAAAAAAACGAGATACTTTGCACCCACACGAACATGAACGTATTGTGACCTTGGAACTCCAGGAAATAAGCGGGCAACAACCAGGCGGCCTGGGCGATGAACCAAATCGTCACCAAGAACAGAGCGGACTTCTTCGACATCTGTATCTGCCAAACGCACAGCGGCAAAATGACCAAGATCCAGACGAAGTACTGCGAAGTCAGCACCGTATTATACGCGACCATTACTATCGTCAACGCGAGAAACGCAAAGTTTAACGAGAGCCTGTTCAAGCCGTAACGTACCGAGAACACGAGGAGCAAAATTACCTGCGGGAGGATCGTCAGGAGATTTTGCCAGAAGCCGACGTTTTTGATTCCCGCCGTTAGGTACTGCAGATAGAAGTACATGGAGAAGTTGTGACGGGTGTCCTTTCGGGTCAGGTGATACACGTACGTCTCGTGCAGGAATTTCTCCCCGTAGAGCAAATAGAAGGCGCCAATCAAAGTGGACAGTGACGTGATGCAGCCGACTACCAGCTTGAACTGCTCTCGATTCGGGATCAAGTAGTACAGGTACTCGAGTTTAAACACCGTTCGCCTACAGCTCGAGTCCAGGGCGTTCTCGCCCCCTTTTAACTGTATCTTCTTGTTCTTGCCCTTCGCGGGTTTGACAACGGCCGACAGTCGATGGCTATGCGAGTAAAAGGCGAACTCGCTCAAGTGCATAAAGAGCGCTAGACTGTACGCTATCGGGTAAAGACGTACGTGTACCGCGACGCCGTGTAAAATACCGGCGACGAACGAATTTTTCCAAATTTGCACGACGTACAGAGTCGCGAGGACGAGAACTCCGGCAATCGAATCGCAATTACCTCTCGTGGCGATGGCGATCGTCATCGGATTGTACAGCGACAAGATCATCGCGAAGTCCGCCGAGATGTCGACGTCGCTCTTCCCGTGCTTCTTGCGTCTGCGCTTAATCGACCTGTCGTCGACGATCTGCAGTTTGTTCACGTCGCAGCTCTGCCTGTACCGCTCGAACTCGTGCAAGTTGTGTCGAACGATCTCGCGTATCAGCAAGGCCACGACGATATTGACGGCGGAAAACAGCAACTTACCGAAATAATCGCACAGCAAAACGTTGGGGAGTAGAAGGTAGGCGACCAGCGGCGTGTACCGATAAGTGTCCCGTTTGTAAGGCGACTCGAAATTCGCGACGTACCGCGCCGCGTCCGTGAACACCTTGTAATCGACGTCGGTGAATGGAACCGGGTAACTTTCGTCGTGATATCTCCCGTAGTGAATTAGGGTGAGGTGAATCAGGAACGAGAGGAGAAGGTGATAACGAAAATCGACCAACTTAAATCTGTGCCACAGAGACGGCATTTTTACAGTTTGGTACGCAAACCAACGGCCGCTTGCTGCAGACACGCCTTGAACGTCTCGAACTCTCGAGCACAATCGTTTACGTTCACAGAGTCCTTCGCGAGAACGCACTTCGCATAACTACCGGCCTCCTTCCTACATTTACCTAACACTAACGGATACTGTCTAAAACGGTCCTTGGCCTTTCGCACGGCTTCCATTTAACGACCGAACCGTTTACTACGATCTTTGCTCAATTCCTCCAGGCTGGGAAGATCGCGGGTGTAGATCGAATCGTAAATCACACGCGAAAACAAGATGCTGACAGCCGTAACTGTGGTAACCCAAACGAATATTCTCGGGTTACGATGGATCCAGGTTTGCTTCTTGATCTTGTCGCGGTAATTCATGACGTCGTCGTGCTAATCGTGTACGGGGTTTCCGTTTTCACGCCCTGACAAACGAAACTATGCTCCTTCCACTTAATGCAGCATTGTCTCATCTCCTCGAAGGCTTCTCTGCACGCGGATTCTTGGTAGTTGTTCGCTACAAAATACGGTTACCAGGAGGATTTTGGAGTCGTGAGGGGATTCGTACCTGAAAGACACTCTTGAATTTTACAGGCAAACCGCTTGCAGGGGTCTTTTTGGGGCATAGGGGCTTTTCGAGTTTCCAGAACAAAAAGTAGGGTTAGGTTTAGGTTATGTAATGTTTTACCACAGCTTAGTAAGTAAGCTGTGGTTTTACTTTACAGTGTTGCCACTTGCCAGCGCTCGCGAATTTTGCTTGTCACCGGCACTAAATACAGGGTGATCATTTAGATAATTGAGCTTGGAGAATATTCCAAAGTTATCCCTGTTGTAATCATCAGATTCCAAACAAAAAACAGTAGAATTGGTAGAATATTGAAGGCTTCTTTAATTCAAAGTTAAATAAACGAGATTCAGTTACAA